ATTTGACCCTGCCGTCCCCTCCAATTATCCTCCTACTCACTGAAGTGAGCACTACTCACTTCAGAGCAAAACAGAAAAGCTATCTACACTTGAAACTTCCACTTTCTCTCCTCTCATTTCTCAACCCTCTGCAATACAGCTTCCAGCCTCATCACTCAACTGAAAGAAACTCTTCTCTCCAAAGTTGACAATGATATCCTAACTGCCGAGTCTTACAGCCTCTTCTTAATCCTTAACTGCTGTACTTCATTTGACACTAGGACCACACTCTCATCTTCGCTGTTGTGTGTGTGTGTGTGTGCGCGCGTACGCATGACACTGCTCTCTCCCTCTTGGTTCTCCTCCTACCTTTCTGACTGCTCCTTCTCCTTTGCTGGATCTTCATTCGTATCTGCTGAGGATACCCCAGGACTCTGTCCTACTTCCCTAATCTTCTGTCTTTACACTTGGTGATCTTACCAGATTTCATGGATTCAATTATCATATTTGTGCAGATCACTCCCAAATTTGTATATCTAGACCCAATCTCTCTCCTAGCTTCCAATCCCACAACACCAACTACCCATTGGACATTTCTACTAGAATCACAAATTCAACATGTCTAAAATGGAATTCATTTATCTTCTCCTGCCACCTCCATACCCTAACCCTACCCCTTTTTCAAACTTCCCTATTTCTATTCAGGACAGTAATGTCCTTCTAGCCACATAAGTTTGCAGCCTAGCAATCTTCAACTCGAAAAATTGTAGATGTAAAGTTGGAGGGGACCCTCAGAAATCATGTAGTTCAATCTTTCATTTTATGGATTAAGCACCTGAGGCCTAAAGAAGTTAGGCAACTTACCCAAGGTCTCACAGGTAAGAGGCAGAGCCACAATTTTAGTCCTCTGACTCCAAATTCAGCCTTCTTTCCACAGTACCATGCTGCCACCTCCCACATACCCACACAGTTGCCAAGTCTTGTCAACCCTGCCTCCACAACATCTGTAGAATCCTTGGCTTCCTCTATACTCACTGAGTATCACCCTATCTCAGGCCCTCAACACTTGTAATTTGGATTAGGGCAGTAATCTTACAATAGATCTCTCTGTATCCAGTCTCTCCCCTCTAGCCTTCAGAGAGCTAACAAAGTGATTTTCCTAAAGCACTGGTCTAACCATATCACTCCCCTGGTCAATAAACTCGAATGATTCCCTACTGCCTTTAGAATCAAATACAAACTCCTCCATTTTGTTATTTGTTATTTAAAGTCCATCTCAATTTGGCTCCAACCAACCTTTCCACACTTACTGAACATTTTGTATTCCCTTCACACACTAGAGAATCCAGTCAAACTGACCTTCTTCCTGATTTTCTCATGCTGTACTATCTTCTGTCTCTATGCCTTTGTAGAGGCTTTCCCCCATTCTTGAAACATAGAACCTCCTCATTGCCACTTGTTAGCATTCCTAGTTTCTTTCAAAGCTCAGGTCAAGCATGACCTTCAATACGAAACCTTTCTTGATCCCTCTCAGATGCTAATAACTCCCCCACCAAAACTACCTTGCATATACTTATATATCTACATTTTGTCTCCCTTGACAGGCTGGAAGCTCTTGAAGTAAGAGACTTTCATTTTTATCTCTGCATTCCTCAAGCATGTGTTCTTAACCATTTTTATGTCATGGACACTTATGTAATCTGATAAAATCTATGGACTCCCTTCTCAGAATGCTAAGTTTTTAAATGCATAAAACATGCAGGGTTAGCAAGGAAAGAAATTATATTGAAATATAGTTATCAAAATATTGAAAGCTCCAAGGTTCAGGGCTCCCAGTTAAGAACCCCTGCCTTGACAGTGCTTGGAATACAAGAGGGACTTAGTAAATACTTGCTGACTGAAAAAGTAACTGAGAGTTCAAGTAACCTAGTCCCAGATGAATTATACTGCAGCTACTAAAATAATTTCCAGATATGACTGATAAACCAGGGCTACTTATCTTTGAGGAGTCCTAGATAATGACAAAAATGCCACAGGATTTGAAATAGGCAGATGTCTGAATTTTCAAAAGGAAAAAGATGAAGATACTGCAATCTGTATGCCAATGAATTTGACCTTCATCACTGGGAAAATTCTAGATTTCATGAAAAGTTGGAGGAATAGAGATAATGAAGAGCTAGCATGAGGTCACCTTGTAAGAACAAGTCATGCCAAACTAACCTTATTTCTTTTTTTAAGGGGGTTGCCAACTAGATTAAGTTGGTAGGCCAGGGGAATGTCATAGACAGAATACCTGGATTTTCAGCCAGGCATTTGACAAAGTCTCTTACTATAGCCTTATGGATAATGTGCAGAGAGAAAAGTGCACTGAATATTACAGTACAGTGGATCCACCCAGCACCTAGCATGGTGCCTTGTACACAGTAGTCATTTAATAAGTGGTTTTTCTGTGGTTGCTGAATAACTGACTGAATGACTAAAACCAAAGAATGTTGATTAATGGATGGATGTTAATCTGGATGGATTTTTTTTTAGTGGTAGAAAGCTCCTGCTCTGGGGCCTGGAGAAAAATATATATGGTACATTTCTCAAATCTAAAGATTTGACAACAAAGTGAGGTGAGGGAAGAAAGGGTTAGAGATGTAACTATTAAATTGGATGACTGAATCAGCATGTAAAAAGTTTAGCTGGCAAGAACAGTAGGTCCATTCTAACAAGATGGAATTTAACTGGTATAAATGAAAAATCCTGCACTTGAATTTTTTTTTTTTTAGGCAATTGGGGTTAAGTGACTTGCCCAGGGTCACACAGCTAGTGTCAAGTGTTCGGTCTGAGGCCAGATTTGAACTCAGGTCCTCCTGATTCCAGGTCCTGTGCTCTATCCACTGCGCCACCTAGCTGCCCCTGCCCTTGGATTTTTTGAAAAATCAATTGTATATGAAGTACAGATGGGGGCAGAAATACAGGTTGGGAAAAAGACTCAGGTTAACTAGCTCAATGAGTAAAGAGTGTTACAGTTACCCAAAAAGATAGTGCAATCATGGGCCCAACTAAGAGAAGTATCACACCAGAATTTTAAATTTTAAGAAAGATATCAGCAAATTGGAGCAAAGGAGGAATATAACCAGGAAACTGAAGGGACAGGAAATCTTGTCACTGGAGATGTTATAAACAAAAGCAGAATTACAGCTAACATTTATATGGAGTGATTTAAAGCTTATAAAGCATATATATATACACACACATATATTTATTTTCTCATTTGATCTTCCAAATAAACCTGAGTCAAGCACTATTATTATTCCCCATTTTACAGTTCAAGAAACTGAGGATCAGAGACGTTAAGTGACCAACTCAGGGTCATAAAACTATTAAGTGTCTGAGGCAAAATCCAAACCTAAATCTTCCTGACTCCATGTCCAGGATTCTATATCTATTCTGCTACACTGCATAGATGCCTAAATGATAATTTATTATGGATTTCATAAAAGAAATCCACAATAACATCATGAAAGTATTTTGCTAGAAACTGAAATGTACTTAACGTATAAAGTAGTAACTTCAAATGCCAATTTGTATAATCTCAATACAGCATTTTATCAATAGCATTCCTCACTTCCCGCTGGCAAGAAGAAAGCCAGATACTTATGATATAGCCTCTACTTGACAAACATTTCATCCTTCCTTTCTGTATCACCCAAAGTTTTCTAGTGTCAAAAATGCTGACAGAAGAATAGCCTATGAAGGGGCAGTAATAACAACTTAAACCAGATGAGATTTTACCTACTGGAAGAAGCAGCATGATATAATGAAAGACTACTAGTTTTGGAGTCAGAGACCCGGCTGCAAATCCTGCCCATCACTATCTGTGTTATATTAGGCAAATCAATTTTCTCATCTATAAAACGAGGGGGCTGGACTAAATTAGATGGCCTTAAAGGTCTCTTCTAGCTCTAATCTATCATCCCAAAAGTTTAAAAAAAAAAAAGGCTGTATTATGAAACCATACCATTTAAGATTTCTAGATTCCAATCAGAAGCCCATTTACTTCAAGCATGTTATTTAACACTACAAAAGAATATAGACAGCTTCTTAAGAGTCCATTATAATAGAGGACCTGTATAAATACAGATCAAGAGAGAGTAACAGCGACATTACCTCCAAGATTGAGGGTGGCAGGTAGGGTTAAGGAGGAGGAGTTTGATCCGAATCTTTTATCTCACCGACTTAGGGAGCTCCCAGTGAAGGAATCCTCCCCACCAATGCAGATAAGCTACCCCTGTGCAACTTAAGAGACTCGATGAGTTGGCTGACTGTGACTGAACAGTATAAATTATCCCTTCCACGTGGCAGGGTTGGGGGGGGCGGTGCGTTTTGGCCCTCCCTTCACACCAGAGAAGAAGTCTAAATGATGTTTTTCTTTTTCTTTATGGGGTGTTTACAGTAACACATTGTAAAATCTGGGTTAAGTATTTGGTCACAGGTTTTGTGTCATCTGTTGGCTTTCATGTGTCATCTGCAGCTTCCACAAAACTCCCCCAAAAATTCCTATTTAATTTCTTATGCTGACTCATGATATATTGAAACTATGATGGGTAAAGTCATGATGTGAAAGGGAAAACTGTATTTAAGAAGTGCCTACTATGTTCAAGGCACTGTAATAAGTGCTGGGGAGCACAAAGATTGAAACAATTCTTATTCTTAAGGTGCTTACTTCTATCAGAGAAAATAATCTATACATTTATAAATATATACTGAATAACTTGAGAGGTTAAATGATTTGCCCAGGGTCACACGGTCAATGTGCATCAAAGGCAGGACTTGAACCCAGGTCATTCCAACTCCAAGACCAGTTCTCTGTCCATTATACCACAATATCTCTCTTACATTTAAAGGAGACAACAACACCCACACACCCACACACACACACACCCCATTCTGCACCAGACATAAAACATTCTTAAAAAAAGAATCAGTTCTCAATTTTCTCTACTACATTCCCTCTGCTTTCATTAACTTACCATATCCATCATGTCTAAAGGACGAGGGGTGTTCTCCCAAAATGGCTTGTCTCTGACGACCCTTTCCTCTATCTAATACAGAAGTAGAAAAGAGGTTTTAACAATCTGGACCTGTGCACTTGATAGCGTTCTCATACCGGACACATAGTATTACAATTCAAAAAAAAGAAGTTTGATTTCTGGTTAACTTCTAAAAACCATTCAGATCCAATTTAAACACAAATCATATCTGTTTAACACCAAAAGTTTAGATAAATAATTTTTTTCTGTCTAACAAATTCCACTTAACTTGAAAATATCTTTTGGCCAATAGCAGATACAAACACTTTAGAATTTAATGGAAGGCTGGATAATTTTCAGAAAGTGCAAAGTACGCCATGCTAAAGGTTAACATCATACAGGGTTTACCAATGTATGTCTTTAAAACAAGCTGTAAGTGCAGGACTTTTGAAAGACAGTACCTGAATCATACTATTAGCTTCAACAGCAACACATTTTCAAAGTGGGCTTCTTTCAAGAAGTTTCAGCATAAGCCAACAACAACCTGTATTACATGGTTTCACAATCAGTAAACAGAGAGTATTTTATATGTACATATACATATTTACAAATACCTAGTGATTTATGAGAATGCTGAAAATTGCACATTCCTAGCCCATATGGTACCATGGGATAGGATTTCAACTATAACCAAAACTCAGTTTCTATTGACTTTAACAACAGGCAACACCTTGAACAACCCCCAGTTTAAATATACCCAGATAAAGCTAACCAAGGGGTCAACATTATTGGATGAGAGCAATAATATACTCTCAAAGCATTTTTACTAAACTACAGAGAAGCTATATCAGATTTCCCAAACTTAACTAGTCATTAAAGTAAAATCTGATTATAAAATTTTCAGCAACATTTGGTCAGATTTTTTAAAAACTTCATTATACAATTGTCAGAAGATTTGCTGACCAAATAAAGATAGTGATCAGTCTGATTCAATATAAATATTTAAGCCTCTAACTGTGTCTTAGGTTTTTGCCAGTATAATACTTAATATACTTTGAGCAAATGAGTTCCGTGGAAGATGAGAAAAACTCAATTTTTTAAGTTTGGAGAGCTATCTCTCCCCTCGTTTATCTAGTGGAAGTTTAACATACTACTGACTAATAAATTTTACAGAAATTACAGCCAGCAACTGAATAATTCAATTCTAATAATGTCAAAAGTGGCAATGTGGAAGACAGGAAGTTAATTAAACTGAATTAACCTAGTCCTAGCACTGCCTATTTGGCTGTGGAATTTTGGTTAAATTATTTAACCACTCTATTCTGTTACCTCATCTAAAAAATAAGGAATTAGATTAGATGATTTCTATAGTTCCTCCTTTTTTAATGATTCTATGTATTTGAGTTATTATTTATTATTTGTGGACTTCTCACATCAGTACCAGCAATTCCATGAATACACTTAAAACAGGACAAAAGTTGAAAAAGCACAGAGCCAAAAAAAAAAAAAAAAGAAAAGAAAATTCAGGGAAAAAAAATTTCTAAAAACGTAGTAAGAACTTAAAAGGATACTGAAAAAGAAATAAGCTCAGATATTAATGGGCTCTTATTTCTTTTACAGAGAAATTCAAAAAAAGTTTTTTTTAAAAACAGCAACAGCTAAAACAGTTCCAGTGCCTACTATAAAAGCTAAAAACAATGAAGAAAAATAAGTTACCAAATTATTTATAAACAATATAGAGCTAAAAACTCAAAAATTGAGAAATTTCTCTTTCAAAGAATAACTATAACTCTTTTTTCCCCATTTCCCTCAGGTAGATTAGCAGGGCACTATTTAAATATCTAACAAACAATTAAATTGGAGTAAATAAGCCTTCCTTAGAGACAGAGGCAAGCAGTTAAAAAAATATGCAAATCTATAAATAATGTTGTAATGCTTATACTTCAATGGATCCTATGATCTCATCATGGGTAGTTTAGGCAACTGAATATAAATAAAAGATCTAGTTGATAATCATGAAGGGTTGGGAATTCCATGTTACACAAATCTATACTCTTAAACAAGTAATAATTATTCAGTTAAACTCTGAAAATTGACATAAATAAGAGGTTTCTCATCAACCACTCATCTCAATATCTGCATTAATAAGAATTTTTCAGCATTTTATTAACCATGCCACAACCTATACTGAGCAGGAAAACATGGGGTTCAGTCAAAGCTGAGTAACAAAACAAAACTATTTGTAACCCCACGAACATGCAAATTAAGATTCTAGATATTAAAGTTATGGGCCAATTATCATTCAAGGGACCAAAAAATGTAAATAAATGGATAAAAATAATCTAATCTTTTCTGCTAGATTATGCTGTTTAGTACCTACCACCCAACGTAGTTAGGATACCATAACAGAATCTGCTTTTTTTTTTTTTACTTTGTAGATTTACTAAAACAAAATTTCAAAATCTTGTTCAAATGCTGACAGTCCAGATAAGAGCTAGCCAATACTGTAGCCCCCTTGTTAGCCTTTTACAAGATGCACATTTTAATTTGTATATTCCAGCATTACCACAGTTATTTTGACAATTTTATGAATAAAGTCTATCTTGATGAAATCCAGAATTTCTATAAAATAGCTGAATATGCATCTCAGATGAGTTAAAGTCTTTGTTTTCATATTTATCTATAGTTGAAATATATTCTACCTTGAATAGACATGCTTTCAACCTCTTAAATTTCTAAAAATTATACAAATTATACATAAGTAATGACTACTAAGAACTGTTACAGAAAGTGACAACTTTTATGAACAGCCACTTTACAAAATGCAATCTACACAGCAAGTTGTCTTTTTTTTTTTTTTTTTTACAAATGATGCATATTTTTAATTACTGTGTGAGGATAAATTCTTGTTCAATGTCCACAGTTAAGATTATGCCAATAAAAGTAATTTAATTGCACCAAATGGGCACCTTCCTATTCCTTTTACCTTTAATACACCCGTGTGGACTCAAGAAGTATTATCCACCCCTCTCCCAGCCCCAGGCCTTTGGGTAAATTAATCCTAACCATTAACCACACAACAATTTTAATCTAAACTGTAAAGAACTAATTACAGTAATGTGCAAAATTATTTACAACATTGTAGATAAACTCTGCATTTGGCAGACGTTCCTTTAACGAAATGTCAAGCTCTACAACTGTAACTCAGGGAGATTAGACCAGTACACACACAATTGAATACATGGGCACAGTCTATCAGGGTGTTCATCCCATGCAAGTCTGAAGCACTGTTAAGTGTCCTCCTTTAAAGACTGGTGGTGGTGGTGCGTGCAGTATGCAGTCAAGGTGAATTGCAAGTCTGAGTTTTTTCAGAGGGCTTTTGCTGATGCCGATGTTGTGCATGATGAGGTGTGGAGTCAGCCTGCTGGAGTCCTCTATCCTTCTTAATGCCTTGTCCAGCTTGGGGGGACAGTCCTTTCCATAGAGAAGCAGTGTGCAAGTTTGTAAGGAATATTCTGAATCAGTTTCCTCTCCTCCAAAGAGTGAGAGCTGCTTGGAGAAATGCAAGTCCTGGAACTGCGGGCGTGCCTGCATGTGGGGGCTCCTTGTTGAACTACATGATAGCTCAGTACACACCAAGAGGGGGCGCTAATGTTCAATGTTAATTTCTCCAGGATTACATGATAGCCTTTTGAAACAATGCATTCACCAACAAGACCTCATTTGAACTAATTATAGTTCATTGCCAAGAAAAAGAAAACTAAATGTATATAAAAATGCCAGCATACACATTTACATTTTATAATACACAAACACCTACCTCGCCTTCCCAAGTACGGTTTAGTGTAGTCCCAACTGTCATTGTCGTTCCTAATAACATTTAGGCGTGTTGGCTGTTGAGATTAAATGACAGTAAGTCAAAAGACTGAGGTTAAAACATATACTGCTTTGAAAAAATTATAGCTGAAAAATACATACCCTTGCATACTCAATTTTTAGTGTACAACATCCAGCATATATATCTGCTCCATTGAGTGCTGCTTTAGCTTTCTGGGCACAAAGAACTGATTCAAACATAAGTTTTATTAAGGAAATTTGTTCAAGATAGTTTATTTGTTCTCCTTTCCTGGAAAAAGGCACAACAAAATCTGAAATCTCTCACATATATGGGAAATGTTTCACTAAGCAAAAGTGGCTAGAAAAGGTTTAAAAGGAAATTTTTGTTGTTGTTGTTGTTTTTTAATGTATGGAGTCCCAAAACACAAAGGAGGCAACCTAATTTCCCATCTATTCTTCTAATTCCAATTTAAAACAGCAACAACAAAAATCATCAATGAAAGTATTTATAGAATTGTATGGAGATATAACATAAGAAGAATTATACAGATAAAACCTGTGACTAATTTAAAGTTTCTAAAATCTTACTAGAGTATGTAAAGCATGGTTTCCAGATAGAAAATACTAAAAGAAAAACAACCAAAAGGATTTTTTTTAAAAATATGGATTACAATATGCTTATGTGCTTCAGTTAAATCCAACAATCATTTGTTAAAGTATCAAGGCACTAAGGATACAAAAATAAAGCAATACACAATCAGTACCCTCATATAATTTGCTATCTAGTAAAAAGAATGAGACAGGTCTTTCCAACTCTAACTCTTATAAACACATAGGTGAATACAATACAAATTACAATTAGTTAAGAGATCTAAACAAAGTGGTATTAAGAAACTCAAGGTGGGGAAAACTATTTAATTGGAAGGACAGGAGAAAAATCAAATTTATACCTGACTTGGAAGGGAAGGATTTCAGAGCTGAGGTTAAAGGGTGAAAACATAAGGCCATTCCAGACATGGGCAATACACAGAGGCAGACAGAGAACCAATTCAAATCAAACTGTGATAAGGAAATTGGGGCAGGATGAGATTTTGAAATGGCACTCTACTCCACAGTATAAAAGGAAGTAATGTGTGACAACTAAGACAGGTTTAGAATAAAGTTGTGGTGGGTTTTGAATTTCCAAGCCAAAAAATTTACATTTTACTAGATAAATAATGGAAGTCACTGAAAACTGAGCAGGAGAGTGACATAGTCAAACCTACACGTAAGGAATATTTTAGCAGTGGTGTGAAGGTTATATTAGAGAAAACTAACTAAAAGCAGGGAAACCAGCTAGGAGGCTATTATAAAAGTCTAAGAGAAGTGGTGAAGGCCTAAACAAATAATAATAATAATTTACACTGATCCAGAGCTTTAAGATTTGTGAAGTACTTGACACACCTTATCTCACTAGACAGTCACATCAACCCAGTGAGATAGAGATCCTGCTTTAATTTCTCTGGTCACAAAGTAGGCTGCTCAATGCTGAATAAGTCATATTGGTAGGTTGTTTACTACTGATTCCAAAGGCCTTAAAATAAAGTTAATTTACAGTGAACTTCAAGGGAGGACAGTATACAGATTATCTAATTATTATAAAAAGAAATCCTATAATTGGAAAAAATTAAAAATTTAAAATATAAGAGATTTATTTTAAAGTTACTATTAGAATCTTACAATTAATTAAGCACCCTGTATTAAAGTCACAAAATCTAAAATTTGTGCTTTTTTTTTTTAAAAAAGTATGCTATATGTAAACTTTTCTGAAACAAAACAGGAAATATCAAACTGTTTTAATAAGTACTGAAGCAAGTAAAACTACGATGAACATCTGGATGAGACACTCAGAGTTACAAATTACAAATGAGTACAAGTATAAAATAAAGGATATTCAACCATTGCTTGTATTCCATTTCTCTTGAATATGACAATCCGTTGCACTTTTCCAACAGGATTGCATACTGTATATAAAACATCCTAAGAAGGAAAAAAAAAAACTTTGGATTTATCAAAGTATTCATGCTATAAAATTCAGTTAGATTATTATTATAATTAAAAGGAAATTAGAATAGCCCTACTATCCCTTAAAAATAATAACAAAACCAATTACTTCTACTGACAATACATGGAATACCAATTTTCTAAATTACAAAAGTATTTTAAAATTTTTAGATGAATCTGATATACAAAAATGTCTCTAAATACAAACACAGCCATGTTTCTTGTCATTCCAAATATTGTCAAAAGAGTACATTCAACTAAAATTACTGTTAAGAGAAAATAAACAAAGTATAGGCAATAAGGATATGTAATTAATAAGGTCATGAGATCCAAATGGGTATTTCTGTCAAACAAAATTGAAGTAACAAATGTTGTACAGAAAAAATAATGTCAAATATGCTATGCATTTATCCACTTATTTCTTCTTCAAAATGTCAACTCTGTTAAGATAAGGACTAGAGATTCTTTGAATTGCTGTATCCATGGTACTTTCACTGTTAAGAGAACATCCCTGGTTTGAGGTTCAGATAGACAAATTCACTTTGCTTTGTTTCATGGCTACAGACTGACCTGTCTGCCCAGATAGTCTGAAAATACATGGCCTTTGTAACAAGAGCTGAGGGTAGACAAAGTAATACAAATCTACCATTACTGCCAGCAAAACTTAAAAGTACGAGTTATAATAGCACATCAACCAGGTCACCATCTACAAAGGACAGCTAGTATAGTAGTCTGTGTCCAGGATCTTACTTAAAAGGATATTCAAATGTTATAGAGAATAAGTTAATATTAAGATGTGCATAGTGATGATCTTTTATCTTTAATTACTCAGGAAGACAAACTACCAATTGCTTAAGATATCTACTAACTATACTCCAGAGGCAAATGGTAAGCAAAGAGTGGTGTGGAAGAGTTGTGTCCCTTAAGAGTAAAATATGGAGCACTGAACTCATATTACAACAGATTTGTAAACTTGGTAAATAGTGTGCCTAATGCTACTTCTCTTGGTCTCCTTTATATGCCTGAGAGCTGCTGAAGCTTTAATCAACACTGTGGGATATGGTAGCAGGCAATCAAAACCATTGCCTTAATGATAATAAGGTATGGCTTACCCCCAACCCCTTGTTCAACAATTCAACTCAACCAGTATTTATTAAGCACATCTTATGTGATAGGCACCAGGGACACAAAGACAAACCCTAACCAGTCCTTGCCTTCATGAAGCTTACGTGTACTCAGATTAGTGGAGTGAGTGTTTGAGGGAGGGGAAGCACTAAAAATTGTAGGAACTCTGGAGAAGTCTCTTGTAGGGCTCCTCTGTTGAGCCTTGAAAGGAACCAGAGATTCCAAAAGTTTTGAGGAAGGAAAGAATTCTGGGCCTTAGGGACAGTCTGTTCAAAAGAGAAACAGGAGATGGTATGTCCTATACAGGGGACAGCAAGTAGCCTAAAGTTACAGATATTAACAATGTAAATATTACAAATATGTAACTACTGTACAAAATTAACTACCATAAAATATCTTTTCCCTCAATTCTGAAGCAACTTTGCAAAGAGCCTAATTTAAGTTAACTCTCTCTTCCCCACTAGTTTTTCTTTACTTCTAGAAGGGAATCCTTATAGGACAAAAACAAATCCTTACATGAGAGACACAGGATCATAATAGAAAGGAATGGGATTTTCATGTCTGTGAATAAAAACATAATGAATGTACTAAAGTTAAACTGTTAAAATATTATACTTAATTTTAAGTCAAGCTCCTAGCCTACCTGTCCAGCAATCAGAATAGTTCTGGTAAATTTTACTGAAGAAAGGGAGGAGAGCTGCCACAATGAGGGAAAACCTATCCCATACTCCTAAGGAAGAGCAGTATCTCTGACATTGGGAAATGTTAATCAAATCAACTTTAGGCAAAGACTTGAGGTTCAACAATCATTCCTCGGAAGGGGTGTGACAATTTTTCCCATGGCTAGCAAATTATCCTCAACTCAGAATCCCTGGGATTTATTGAGTCTATCCTGCCTTCCCTACTACCACTCCCTGACTCTAATGCCCATCCAGGTCAGCTGTACCCTTACCTTTCCCTATACCTAATGACAAACCCCTGTTCTATTGTTTTAAAACTGCCTTCATATTAGACACTTTCCTCTCATGATCACTCCACCTTACTGCAATCATGAAAACCTGGCTTGTGTCCCTGGCCATCTGGATGTACTTTCTTGTTCCCTCCTCCCCACTACTACTAATGCCTTCCCTCTGAGATTACTTCCCATTTACATTGTCTCTATCTTGTACATACAGAGTTGCTGGCACATTCTCTCCCATTAGAATGTGAGCTGCTTACTCCTTTTTGCTTTTCTTTGCATTCCCAGCACTTAGCCCAATGGCTGGCACACAGTAAATCCTTAATAAATAGTTACTGAAGATGATGATGATGACCTCAACACATTTGGCCAAAGAGGAAGACACTCCTCCTACCAGTGCCATTCAGTAACTTTGGCTCCTTTGATATTCACTCCATCCAGACACAATCTGAGCCTGGTAATCCAGAGCCTAGTGGCAGTTATCTATTGGCCTTGGGTCATTCTCTCTCCTTTCTGAAGGAATTTAGTACCTGGCTTACACTTAGAAGAAACTCAGAAGTCACCTAGTTCAATCTGCATCTGAACAAGCATCCTCTCCATAATATCCCTAACAAGCGCAATAAGATCATATCTCCTTTATTCCAAAATTTGTATATCAAGCTAATGCAGTTGGTCCATTAAAGTCCATTACAAAAATCAGAGGTTATTATTCTGGGGGGAAATCCAGAGTAATAATAACATGAACCTCCCTAACTACCTAGACCTTGTTATCCAGAGCTTTTGTGAAAACTGATAGCTTTCAGAAATGAATAGGAAAAGCCATATGATATTTAATGCAGTACTACCACACACTGAAACAAAGCTGAATGGAACCTAAAATATACATCTCCAACCTAAATACTACCCTTTATCTCTGAGGACTTCAACTTTAATACTTCTGCTCTTTTCCAACACCCTCATTTCCCAGTTCATCAACCTCAACTCTTATGGTCTGTATCTTCACTTCACCTCAGTCATACACAGGGATGATCATGCCTCTGAGTTCATCATCACCCACAGGAAATCACCTCCAGAATCAAAATCTACAATTCAAATTCACCTGGCATCTGACCCAGATCTTCCCTATCCTTTCATTTTCCCTCTGACTCTGTCCCTTATGTCCCCCTAAACCTATTCTCTCTCCCTACTTCAACCTATAGTCACTCCACCCTTCCTTGATTTCCCAGGTTATATTGTAGCAGAGGTCACCCCAGCTGAGTCTTGGAAAGAACTAGGGATTTCAAAAAGGTAACGAATAAGAAAGGAGAATATTCCAAGCACATCTCTTCTGAGTTATAGTCCCATACTGCCAACAGCCAGAGGCAAATCAAATTTACTTTTCTTTCCCCTTGTACACACTCTTCATCCTAACTTCCCAACTTCTATTCAGAATACAAGGGACAGCTAGGTGGCGCAGTGGATAGAGCACGGGCCCTGAAGTCAGCAGGACCTGAGTTCAAATCTGGCCTCAGACCAAACACTTGACACTAGCTGTGTGACCCTGGGCAAGTCACTTGACCCCAATTGCCTTAAAAAAAAAAAAAGAATATTACCATTCTTCTAATCAGTAAATCAAGCATTCATTAAGCATTTAACATCAAGATAAAAAAAAAACAGGCAATCCCTATCCTCCAAGAGTTTGTATTTGAATAGAAGAGACAACACATAACAGAAACTGGTATATAAAAGATATATTCTGAGTAAATACAAGGCAACTTTACAGAGATAGCACTATCAGCCTGGGATATCAGGAAAGACTTCCTGCAGCAGGTATCACTAAGTCTTGAATGATGCCAGGGATTCTAAGAGGCAGAGATGAGGATGAAGTGCATGTTAGGCATGCAAGACAGGGCAAATACACGGCAGATACAAGATGGAGCAATTTATGTGAGGAACAACAAATAAGCTCAATATGGTCGAACATAAAGTACATGTAATAAGACTAAAACCACAGAAAAGAGTCAAGTTGCAAAGACCTTTAAATGCCAAAGTACTTGATTTTAGAGGTAACTGGAAACCACTAGCATTTACTGAGTAGGCTGATGACATGGTCAGACTAGAACTTGAGGAAAATCCATCTGGCAGCTCTCTAAAGGATGGTTTGGAGTAGGAAGGGACTTGAGGCAGGGAGATCATTTAGGAGGCTAAAGCAGTAATCCAGATGAGAAGCGTTACACTAGGGTTGTGACTATGTGAGTGTATAGAAGAGGACGTATGACAGAAGTCTTCTGGAGATAGAAACGTCAAGATTTGATGAGACACGCTGCAAGAGTGAAAGTAAAGAACTGAGGAACACACTGAGGTCATGAATCTGTGTAACTAGAAAGATAGTGATGCTCTTAACAGTAATAGCAAAATTCAAAAGAAAAATGGGAAAATGATGAGTTCTATTTTGGACATGTTGAGATGCCCCTGAGATATCCAGTTTAAAATGTCCAACATGCAGTTTATGATATAGGACTACAGCTCAGGATAAATACACAGATCTTGCAGTCACCTGCATAGAGATGACAAATGAATTCAAGGGAGCTCCTGAGATCACCGAGAGAGAGTATAGAGGAAAAAAGAGGAAGCGGGTTCAGAACAAAACCTAAAGGGATGCCTATGGTTAGAGGGTAGGATAGGAATGAAGATCCAAGAAATGAGATTGAGAAGGAACAATCACACAGGTAGAAGAAATAAGAACGATATCATGGAAACATAGAAAGAAGAGAATATCTAGGACAGTGTCAACGACAATGTAAAATACTGCCAAGAAGTCAAGGATGAGGACCAAGAAAAAGCCATCAAAAAGCTGACAATTAAGAGACTATTGGTAATACTGGAGAGTGTAGTTTCTGTTGATTAATGAGGTCAGAAATCAGAGTGCATAGGGTTCAGAAAAGAGTGAAAGTGGAGGAGGTAGAAGTTTGCAACCTCAAAGCCATCCTAAATTCCTCTTTCTTCCTTTCTCCAGACCCCATATTCAATCATCTGCCAAATCGTGCCCATTCTACCATAATATCTTTCAAGTCTGTTGTATTCTCTCCACTCACACCACAACCACCATGATTCAGACCCTCATTACCTTACCTGGACTACTGCAATAACCCTCTAAATGGCTTCCCTCTCACTCGCCTCTTCCCTCTCCAATCCTTCTTCCACCTGGTTGCCAAAAAGCACAGGTCTTACCATGCCACTCTCCATGGCTACCTATTGCCTCTACGATAAAATACAAATCCCTCTGCTTAGCATTTAAAGTCCTTCACAATCCTACTCCAGCTGATTTCACTCTTCCTCCTAGCACTCTGCACTAGCCAAACTGATGTCCTTGTTATGCTCCATAAATGACATCCCAGTTCCCACCTCTGTCTTTGTGTAGGTTGTTTCCTATACCCAAAACACTTTCCTTCTTTACCTCTGCCTCTTGGAAGACCTAGTTCTCTTCCCAACTCAACTCTCCCAGCAGGTGCCTCTGCTAATTCCCACAGTTATCAGTGACATTCAATTGTTTCTATTTTGTTTTGGATTCACTTATACATGCTCTAATAAATACTTGTTGAAATGAACTGATAATCAGTCAAAAAAACTAGACTGGGAAAAAGTGAGTCACAGGGCCTAAGGAAACCATATTTACAGAAAGGGAAGCAGTCTGTGGTTAGACTCAAAGATAGGAAGACAGAAATTTTAGCTGTGATGGTTACATAGTAAAGATTCAAATACTGAATCAAAGAATGAATGACTAATTATGGCAAGTAAAGCTCTTTAAAGTTACCGCAAGATAATAGTTGGTTGGTTATTGTCCGTTCTCAAAGAGGACCAAAATGATATCACTATGTTAGAGTCAAGTTACAGTGTGTCCAACTGTAGCTGATCAGACCAACACGAGCTCGGAATGCTCTACCACAGGTCGGGCACAATTAGTCCATGTGAACATTTTGGGTGCAGCCTCTAAATTTGTGCATCTCACATTTCTTTTGAGCTACTTCATTTCTGCTGTGCTCACTGAGCACAGCACCTTCTCTGATGAGAGCACACCTATGCCAGTGTCTCCCATGTCACACAACCCAAACCAAATCACACAATTCCAAAGTTCTATCTATTAAGTTTTCAAACTGCCTAATTGAGATTCTAAGTATCCATTAGAGTAGGGCTAGTTATCTGATCACATTTGAAAGAGGTCCCTAAGTGGCCCATTATCTGAGATTTCGGGCAAGCAGGTACTAGAAAAGGATCCTACAGTATATTAATAGTGCAATATTATAACCTTATTAGAATAATGTATTATATTTAAGTCAACAAGCATTTATTAAATGCCAACGATGTGCCAGGTACTGTGCTAAATACTGGGGATATATATAAAGGCAAAAAGAATTCCTGCCCTCAAAGGAAGCACATTCTAGTGGGAGGAGACAACAAGCAAACAACTGTGTATAAACAAGGCATATACAGAGTAAGTTGGAAATAACCTCAGAGGAATGACACGAATGTTAAGAAAGATAAAGAAAGGCTTCTTACAGAAGGTGAGAATTTAGCTGCTATCTGAAGAAAACCAGGGAAACCAAGAGATGGAGGTAAGGAGGAAGAGCATTCCAACCATGAGAGATAGCCAACGAAAACACTTGCAGTTGGGAAATGGAGTGTCAAGTACAAGGAACAGTAAAGAGGCCAGTATCAGTGGATTGAAGACACATGTACAGTGAAGGGTGTAAGACATAAGATGACTGAGGGACAGAGACCATTTTGCCAGTTGTGGTAGATAGAGTGGAGTAGGGAGAGACTTGAAGCAGAGAGACCAACTAGAAAGAAGGCTATTGTAATAGTCCAAGTGTGAGATAACGAAGGCCTATACCAGAGAAATGGCAGTGCCAGAGAAAAGAGAAGGAAGCATATTTAAAAGATCACTGTGAAGGTAGAAATGGCAGGTCTTGGCAAGAGATTAGACATGAGGGGGTGAGAAAGAAGTAAGGAGTTGAGGATGACAGGCTGTGAATCTAGATGATTAGGAAGGATTGTGGTACTCTTAATAGTCGTAATAGGGAAGTTAGAAAGAGGTAAGGATTTGGAGAGACAGAGAATGAATTCAATTTCAGACATACTGAATTTAAGAAGTCTATGGATGTTCAATATGAGATATCAAATAGGCAGTTGTATATGAGAGACTGGAAGTCAGAAGACAGGTTAGGGCTAAAACAAATGTGAGATTCATCTGCATAGAGATAATAATTAAATCTGTTATAATTCATATTCAATATATGGTTTTATATTATAATGCATCAGTACATATTTAAATTTTTCAAACATTCTCTGTAATGTATAATTTTATAAATACTTAGGTCAAGAAATAATTGTTTGATTAAAAAGTAGCATAACTGTGATTCTCTGGAATTCTCAAGATGCAAAGCCTAGAAATTACAAGCCGTCATAAAGAAAATAACTAAGTTGGATCATGGTTATTCCTCCAACTACCAAACAATTAAACTTCAACCTGCCATCTAGTGGAGGAAAAGGTCATACTCAGGGGAAAAAAAAAGATGACCTTAAAGTTAGGTAAGTTAGATACCTCAGCAGAGTCTAGTACCAAATTAATAACGCTAAAATGTTAAAGAACTTGAATAAAGAAATGTCAATGTGATGTGAACTACCATGAAGCCCTGAGATTTAAGGTAGAAAGCTATACTAACTTAGACTTCCCTTACTCTATATTATTAGTCTAGTCAAACTCAAGTGTTTCTTTCACTTGCTTGTCTCTAAACAGTTCCTTTTTTAATTTAATGTATAAAAGGCAGTTAGATGGCACAGTGTACTAGACCTGGAGTGAGGAAGACTCAAAGTCAAATCTGGTCTTAAATACTTACTAGCTATGTAAACCGGGCATGTAACTTATTAACCTTTGTCTGCCTCAGTTCCCTCATATAGAAAATAGGCATAACCCATTATATATAATTGGTATATATATCCATGTCCCAGGAGGATTGTGAGGATAAAATGAGACAGTATTTGTAAAGTGTTTTGCAAACCTTAGTTATAATAATTCTAACTACTAGGATTTTTCCCAATAATATGAATAATTTATAATTAATAATATTGTTGTTAATAATATTAATGCTGTCTCTATAAAAATCCTAATTTTATATAAAACCAAAATATGAAAAGCTTATTTCTTAGGCTTCAATGAAAACTCAAGTGAATTAGAAGAAAACAAGAAAGATAAAATTTAAAGTTTTCAATAAAACTAGTTTTGAAATTATTTTAACAGGCTGTTTAAATCATTTTCAACTTTCAACATGGTGAATTGTGTGGCTGACCTAAGCAAACATTCTGCCTTCTCCATTGTGAGGTTCTTCCCTCATAAGGTAACATCTGAGATAGCCTAACAGTCTTCAAAGCATTCTCTGCCTTATATTCCCTGCCCTTTGGTTTTCTCTCTTATTCTCAAAAACTGAGCTGACAACAGTGATGATCAATAGCATTTATCAAATAACTTGTTTTATTTACCTAAGTTTTTCTTGCCTGCCATTATTAAGATTTTTTTCTTAAATTTTACAATTACATAAACAAACTGAAGAGAACCTTTCCATCCTCACTTTGGAGCACAGGTTCCCACTGCCCCCTGGGAGGTGCTAGAATGATCCAAGGATATGGCAGTAGCCTTGGGTGCAACTGGGGAGTGTTGAATAAAAATAAAAATAAGTAGGGAGTGGGGGGGGGGTGGAAGCATAAGAAAAGAAGAGAAGATAAGAAAATTTTGAAAAACTGTTCATACATGTTTCATCCGTTGTGTAACAGAGTTAAAGTCATAGTGATTATATTATTTTCCAAATAAACACACAAAATGCAAGTTATAACCTATCAGTGGTCAAGTTTGCTGACAGGTCTTAACAAGCAAGTGTTGGTAACTGAGTATGTGGCGCATTGTCAAAAAGTCCCGCATGCATCAGCAGGAATATGTACATGTAATGACTTGTTTAAAATACAATACTATCTGGTTACATGATGCAATACTGCATCCTCAAAATTTCAATGCAGAAAAAAATCACAAATTTACAATAGATTATTAAATTTAAGATTTTTTCTTAATATATTTTTTTTTGAAATGACACAATTTTTAAAAAAATAAACTGTTAAAGGGTTAAAGAAAGTAGATTTCCAGGGGGGTGCCGAGTAATTTTTTTTTTAAAGGGGGCAGTAGGACAAAAGTTTTGGAACCTCTGCTTTAGAGGGAAACTTAAAAATCCAGAAGCATGGATCAGTGAGATTTGCGATGTTGAAAACATATACACATACATCCATACATACGTACCACTGTGATTGGGTAGAGGGGGTTCTGAATGGATAAAAGAAGAACTTTGTTGCCCCCTGAGGGATCATCAGTATTTCCCGGCCGAGTGATCCTTTTACTTGTAGAGTAGTTGAAAAAGGCTTGTTGGCCAGCTATATAAACTGGTTCATCAGCAGCAAAGGTGACACACTCTTTGGCACTATCTATGTTTTCAAATTCCACTAGAGCCTGGCGCTTAAATGGCATCATCATCACATAGCTAGTTTCAAAAAAAGAAAGAAAAGTGTGAGTTCATGTGCAGTTTCCAGACTCTTTTACATCAGAACAAGTACTAATAGTTTTTCTTTAGTAAAACATCAGATCACAACCTTGACTATCTTTACTCAACATTAATCTACTGTAGAATTAATCACATACACCGAAGATGAAGTGTTTATTTAGGCACTTACTTCTCTGAGTTATCCTATTCCTAGAAATGTTTTCTGCTACCTCCCTGGGTCAGAATTATGGTCACATTCACAAGGAAAGTCCTAACTAGGTGATGGACCTAATAGGATATTCTTCACTAACAGGCAAAGGAAAGAATGCCACTCTCAGACAATAATAGCAGATAGCACCCTAATATGGAAACCTAACCTGACCCTGAAGTCAAAGTTATACAAAGAAAAACAGACTGATATCATCCTGAGGAAAATCAACCTCCTCTCCCTGCCTTATCTGGGTTGACCTAATAGCCTTCAATACCAGGTAGGTTATTACATATCAGGTAGGTAGTAATAACATCCTCAACCTCACAGTGACCCAGGTAACTCTCTAAACTAAAAGTTGCAAAACAATAGTCAAATATGCATTGGTAAAGGGAATTTTAGCATCAGGAACTCCTTATATTAAGACTCAACATGGTAATTTTGTTGTTGATAATAATAACATACATTTCCAAAATGTTTGGCAAGGTCAAAATGAGTCACTGTGGAATGATCAAATTTTTGATGTTAAAGTATAGCATTCTCTTAAATATTTACTACTGTCTTCCCCCTTAAAAAAATTTTTTAAATTACACTAAAAAACCCTATTTTATAAGATGCATCCATTGTTCAGCCTGGTACCTAGAAAAAGCCAGTATGTTTAAAAACATGATTCTCACTCTTGGTACACTATTAGCCATGGTTCACACTCAGGTTACCAGGGCATCCTGGTATCACTACAAGAAATTAAGGGGCACAGGGCAAACAAGATAAAAAAAATTTTTTTTCCTTTATTATGTGGAAGGATGACTTCAATCAATACTTTAAGGGTCTGATTTCATTAGTGTGGGTACTCCCTCTACCAATAAATATCACAACACATTTACAATATAAGTTGTCTTTGAGAGTTGATGTGGCTGAAATATTCATCACCCTGGAGCCAACCTCTGGTGATGAGCTTTTCTGAAGTCAGGTTTGTCCTTGTACAATAAACATAAAATCCATCACCAGTCTCAAACTCCAAGACTTTGCAAACCGGCAGGACTTGCAAGAGTTTATACTCTTTGATGGCAAAGCTTTTAAGAACCCAGAGTCCCCTACACACAACAAGGAAAAAGGCTTTCAGAGAAGGGGTCTAAGGAAGGGTCCTCAAAACTCAGCTAGTCCCACTTTCTCACTTTACAGGTGAATAAACTGAAGCCCAGGGACATGCCCAATATCACACAGATGATGTCAGTGCCATAATCTGAACCCAGATCTTCTGACTCCAGAGCCAATATTCTTTCCACTGTATCAACAATAATATTTATTAAGTGCTTACTATATGCTAGGAATGAGGTCCTATTTACTCTGGCCATCCTAATCTAAAAAGACAATGGAATCTGGAGAAAGTAAGGCAGTGCATTTAAAGAGTGACTAAACATAAAGGCAGAATACAAATCTTCAGAAGAAACAAAAAGATGATTTTCTAGAAAAGGAGAGCCTTCAAGAAGAAAGAGTGTACAAGAATTTATATAGCACCCTGGACTCAGAGCTCTGCCAAGAAAAAAAGACTGAGGAAAATTAACCTCCTACCCCTATCTACCTATCTGGATTGACTTTATATCCTTTAATATTAATCCTACCACGTTAGTAATAACATACAAATAACATCTTTTGCTTCTTTGGACAAAAGAACCAAATAAGCTAAAGGGCTAAGTGATGAATTCTTCATAGGCCTATTATACACCTGGCCTTACTGACTTTTGCTTTCTATTACTCAGACCAGAAGAAACAAAAATAGATTTAAACTGGAATGAACAACTTTATAATCTAATGCCTACTTTTAAGAGTAGAAAGAAAAATAAACTTTCTTCTTTCTTGTCAGGGTATCATAACAAAATATCTTCATCTGTACCATACAATTTAGCTCTTTGTTATACTGATTTATTCTGTTTAATATGTGTCTTGTCTCCAAGATTACAACTATCTTGAGGGCAGAACTTTAGAATCCTCAAAGTGGTGCTCAACAGATATTTCCTGACTGATGTCTAGATGGCAAGAATTTGCCGTAATTAGCTACAGAACTGATGGATATTTCCCCCCAAATGGCTCTACAATAACCTAGCACTGAACAACTGTGCACAATTGGTCCTGCTCTTCTAGCTTCCTACATTTCATGATGTTACAATCATTCCAATATCAAACTCAATTTTTGTTTTCAAAGTTTTCACATTTAATTTTCCCAACACCTTATCTCTAGACAACAGCTCTAACATTTCTTAGCGATAAACAGCTACAAAGAGAGGCTCACATACCAAGGATGAGAGAAATATGCAAAGCTGCCTGCTTCTTGCAGCTGCTTGATGAGAATGCACTATCAACACATTGGCCAGCTGATTCCCACAGTCCAATGCCAACACCAAGGTTTCAATTCAAAAAAGAATTTATTAATGCCAAGTGCCAGTACTATGGCAGGCCCTGATGAAAAAGAAATTGTCTTGCCTTCTAGGAGGGATGTTTACATTTTACTTGCATTCAAGTCTACTATCTGCTATGACCAGACATCTGCTTCGATCCAGAGTCTCCTCAGAATAGGCCCAAGTGACTATTTCAATCATGGAACAATTCTACCTTCCTAACAGTTACTCTATCTGAACTCCAAAAGGTCGAAACTGACATGAAGCTCCTGGCACCTATTCTAAACATAAGAAAACTGCCCTTGGCTTTCGTTGGTTTCAACTTGAACCATCAGTACTGAAACAGAGCCATAACAGACTTCAGAGTAGAGGGGGGAGAAGAGAATAACACTTTCTCAGGTATTCAACTTTCATAACGTGCTACTATTGCATAATAAAAGGCTCAACCTCATTCTGTTTGGCCACTTCCTTCAAAAAGGAACCTATTACTGCTAGATACCTTCTGAGCACTCATTAGCTATTTTTAATGCCATCGACATACTCTGAATGTCCACTTACTTCCCAGAAACCTTTACTGTTCAAAGCAAGAAAAGCACAAATTATGCTAAAATTTTTCTACTGAATCTGCCGTTTTATGAGGAGCAATGTGGCATAGTGGAAAGAACACAAAACCCGAGTTTGAATTGTACTTCAGACACTCTGAGTTCTGTGAAGCTAGGCAAGTCCCTTACCTTCTCTGAGCTATCTCCTCATCTGTAAAAGGAATACTAATAGCACCTATCTCACAGGGTTGTCATAAGGATCAAACGACAATGTACATAAAGGGTTTGGTGAACCATAATGGGCTATTATAAATATCAAATATTATTTTCAGCTTGGTTTACATCTCAGATGCCTACAAACTAGAAAATAAGGGTTTTGTCAAAAAATAAATATAATCAACTCAACTTTCAATTGACCATATTAAGAATAGTGACAAATATTAAAACATAATTTATTACACAGCTTTGGAATACAGTATATAGGAACACAGATTTAAAGGTAAAAGGATAGATTTAAAGGCAAAGGGGACCCTAGAAGACATCTATTCCAATCTCTTCATTTTACAGATGAAGAAACTGAGACCCAGAAGGTGAATGTTTTGGCAAAGATTCACTGTTCTGTTTCAATTAACAATCCATTTACATAGCACTTTATCGTTCACAAAACAATTTTCTCAAAAGAATCTTGTAAAGTATTAAAAAGTATTATTGATTTCATTCTAAAAATGAGGAAAATAAGGGTCAATGAGGAATGTTTTGTCTGAGTTATATAACTATTAAGTTACAAAGCCAGAACTAGAAATGGTTCCCAGGAACCTTCTGGTTCCCTATCTAGACTCTTTCTACTACAATACAGTGAAGAGCCAGGAACTGTAGGACTGAAAAATGGTTACACAGAATCTACCCATGGATGACTAATAATTCATCAAGGAGAGGGCTGCTACAGTTGAGAAGACTATGTAGTTAGAGAACCTGGGTTGAAATCTAGTCTGTGACCTTGAGCAAGTCACTTAACCTCCCTAGGCCTCAGTTTACTCATCTGCAAAATGAGAGGGATAACAGGGACAGCTAGGTGGTGCAGTGGATAGAGCACTGGCCCTGGAGTCAGGAGGACCTGAGTTCAAATTCAGCCTCAGACACGTGTTAGCTGTGCAACCCTGGACAAATCACTTAACCCTGACTGCCTTGCAAAGAGACAGAGACAGAGACAGAGACACAGACAGAGACTAGATAGCCTCTAAGGTATCTTCTAGCCTTTCCCAGGTCATCATTAACTCCTTAACTCTCATGATCTGCAACTCTACTCTGCCTTGAACACACACAAATATGTTCACATCCTCAAAATCATCATCATAGGACTTAAGATCCTACAAACCTAATATCCTTGATACCTTCCTAGAAAACAATCCTTATATGCCAAGTTTTTTTTAACCCATGACCACTTCTAATATACATAAAAATCTACACAAACTAGCAATCAGTTCTGCAACTTATTAGGTATGTGTCTTTGGGCAAGTCATGCTACATCTCTGGATCTCAGAATGCTCATCTATAAAATGAGATGACTGGGCTGGGACGATTTTTGCAAGTTCCTGGCCCAAATGAACTATATGCTAGCATACCGTAAATATTGGCAAATGTGATCATTGAGTCATTGTCAGTGATATATGAAAGGCTGTGAAGGATTAGAGAGAAACACGGTGGGAATGGAAAAGACAAATGTCCCAATTTTCAAAAAATGGGGAAAAAGAAGTCTATAAACTACAACCTAACAAATTTTACCCACTGGAATACCTAGAAAAATTCTGAAACATTATTTACGGTGATGCGTAGCGAACATTTGAAAGTGAAGTAGTGATCCAAGGAGCCAGTGCATCGTCGTCAAGAAGAGTTCATGCTAGACTAATCCCATGTTCTTTATTTGACAGAGTAAGCAAATTCAAGAGACTGGTGTAGATAAAGTTTAGATTTTAACAAAGCATTTGATAAATTTTCTTGTGATATTCTTGTGGAAAGATGAAGATGTGGGCCAGATGATAGTACAATTAACCACTTAACCACTCTGAACTGGTTCAATGGCCAGACTCAAGGCATAATCATCAATGGATTGATGTCAACTTCAAAGGTCATCTCCATTGCAATGCCCTAGGAATATGTGCTTGGCCCTATGCTGTTTTATATTTCTGTCAGTGACTTTGAATAAAGATGTAAATGACACACTTACTTTGTTTGCAGATGACAAAAAGCTGGTAAAGATAATTAACAAATTGTAATTGGTCAGAATTCAAAATAATCTTGGCAGGCTAGAATACTGGGCCTAATCTATCATGAAATTTAATAGAGATAGATGTAAAGTCTTACACCTAAAAAATTAGAAATGCCGGAAGGACTGCAAGAAAACAGGCACATCAATTTACAGCTAGTGGAGCTGTGGATTGATACAATCATTCTGGAAAGCCATTTGGAACCATCGCCCAAAAGTTACTTAATTGTGCTTATCCTCTGACCCAGCAACACCACTACTAGACCTATACTCCCAAAAGACATCACAGAGAAGAAAAGAACCCATATAAACAAAAATATTTGCAGCAGCTCTTTTTGTGGTGACAAAGAACTAGAATCCAAAGAGTGTCTATCAACTGGGGAATGACTAAACAAATTCTATCCTATGAATGTAATAAAACAAATACTATTATGCCACAAGAAAATATAAAAGTGATGGTTTCATAGAAACTGAGATGTATGAACTAATGCAGAGTAAAGTGAGCAGATGATAACAATATAAACAGCATTACAAAGAAATAATTTTGAAAGACTTAAGAATGCTAATCAACGTTATGAATAAACACAATTCCAAAGTACTGATATTGAAAAATGCTACCCATCTCCTGAGAGAGATGATAGACTCAAGTTACAGAATGAGACAATATACTTTTACATAGCCAATGTGGTAATTTGTTTTGCTTGACAATACCTATTTGTTACATGAATTTGTTTTTCTTTTCTTTTGCTTTTCATTGAGGGGAAGGTAAAAAAGAAAACAAATACTTAATTTTTTTAAATGACCTATGAAGAGTATGTGAAAAGAGGAAAAAAAGGCTGAAGAGCTAAAATATACTGAGGTAGCAGTGGCACTATAAACTAACCTGAACTTCAGTTTTTAATGGATTTTTAAAAATACAAACATCTTTTCCTAACAAAATTCATTTCTCAGGGGGGGAATTATAAAAGCCTTAAGCAGGGTTTCACATTTGAGAAAAATAAATACTATTTTCTCCATTCTTCTTTAAAGGTCCTAATGGAGACTAAGAGTTTCCTATTAATTTTACCAAAATTGATTTTACAGCCCATACTGTTATCAGGGTAAATAATCAATACAAGTTCAGTTTTTCTTTCATCTATAATGTTATTTTTCGAGGGACAAAAGATAACATCTAAATATCATGTACCGGTTCACCCCCCCCAAAAAATGTCCAACATTTGGCTCCAAAAAAGTCAACTTCACAAGTACAAAAAGAGGAAGGCATGGTTAGGTATAAATTTATCTTAAAGAGTCAGAGGAGTTTTCATGGACTGTAAGCTCAGCAGAAGTCAACACTGTGTTGTGGTGACCAGAAAATCTAATATAATCTTAGGGTGTATTAAAAGATGTGCAATATCTAAGATGAGGATGAGTGAAGGATTGCTGTATTCTGCCTGGGTCAGATGAAAACTGAAGTACCTATGTTTAGTCCTGGGAACACTTTAGAAAGGACACTGATAAACTAGAATATGTCCAGAGGACAGCCACTGGGAAGGTAAAGGACAAATTCAAGTCATGTGAGGATTAACTGAAGGAACTGAGGATAATTATTCTGGAAAACTTAGGGGGAACATTATAGCTGTCTTCAAGTTTTTAAAAGAGCTGTCAGTGGAAAGGGGACTAAACATGTTCTCCTTTGCTCCAAAATTAGGAACCAGGAACAAGTAGAAATTGCAAAAAGGCAAATTTAATCTTCATTTAAGAAAAAACTTCCTAACAATCAAAGCTTTTAAAGAGTGGAATGGGCTGGCCCCAATCTGATTCTCTTCCCGCCAGTAGCCCCCACTGGAGGTCTTCAAGCAAAGGCTGGATGACTATTTTGAGGATATTCTATACAGAGGACGTTCAGTTATAAGTGAGGCTAGATGGCCTCTGACATCCCTTTCAGCTTTTCAGATCTTGTAATTTCTGTGGCCCTTCACATCCCTTCCAGCTCTAAATCTGTGCTGGATGAAAGATGCCTACATAAGCTTCAGAGGGAAGGAAAACAAAATGTGCACACAAAACCCCAAAAGCATTGGTTTAAAGGACTCTGAAACTACGTCACTCCCAAACTTACCATCTATTATGTTAGGGCACTACAGACCCATCCCAATATTTCAAGTAAGTTGCAGTTATTGTCAATTGTACATACCATATTGTTCCAAATTTTTCAAGAGCCTCCACAAGGTCTGCTTCCACAACTGATTCACACAGCCCTCGAACATGAACAACAGGAGAAACAGAAACTTTATGATGACTTCCACCTGCCTCCTAGCAAGGGAAAAATAAATTTCTGGTTATATCTTTTAAAGTCTAAATATCATACTTTTTGCAAATTTAATTTCTGCTTTTAAAAACTTAGATCATATCCCCAAATGAAGGATTAGTAAGACTACTTAAGAGAAAATTATTCAGTTAAACATTGGGTTTTCAAAAGTTCTCAAATAACTTTCTATCTCGACTTGAAAGCAAAACAAAATTACTTCAGAATTCAACTCTGCCTACAGTCACAGATACTATTTCAAGTAGATATCTTGATATAACTTGACTGTGGCTACATCTCACTATTTACCTTCATTCTATTTCCTTCAAAACCCAAATTCTAAATAACCTTTGGTATCAAAAATCCCATTTTTGTCCTGGATGGCATTAACCAAATAATACTGTACCACTCAAGATGTTGACAACATACTTTCTCAGTTGTTTTTCTCCTATAGTAGTAATGTATTTATCATTATCATTAATCAATTAACTAGGGAATAATCTGGTCCCATTACAATTTGGGAAATAGCTCACTTAGGGACCAATTTGCATGACAACCTATAATTTCATGTTTCTATCTTTCCTGAGGAGTATTAAATACTCAAACCTGCTAGTCAATGGAAAGGAATCATAAAATATTTGAGCTGTAAAGTACCTTAAAAAAATTATCTAGTTCAACCCTCTCACTTGATAGATAAGGAAACTAAGGTCTAGAGGGGAAAGAGGGAAATGGGAAGGAGTTAAGCATTTATAAAATAAATGATTTGTGCATGGTACACAAATTAGCAATATAGGTCCAAGTTCTTATTCTCAGTCAAATACTCTTTATACTGTAGCATGCAGCCCCGAATACTCCCGGTTGATTCCTCTATGAAAATATATCCTTCGCCTAGCAGGGATACTATGAATCTTTGAATACAAACTATTTAAATATAAATAAGGAGTTTCAAAAATGCTGAATGTAAAGTAAATTACAGACACTAGACAAAGAAAAGACTCTAGTAGCAATCTACTCCAACTGGTCATTCTACAAATTGGGAAATTAGGACTATGGGACATTAAAAAAAAAAAAAAAAAGACTTGACCAACAGTACACAGTTGAATCTGAACCCAGGTCCTTTGATTCTAAACCCAGCATTCTTTCTATCTATACATACCATGCAGCATCTTCATCTATGAAAAATGCTTTAAAAACAGATGACTTTAATGAAACTATGAAGCAGATTGTAAGAAAATATTTTGATACCCAGGAAACAACCATTATCAAATCTGTTTACTGTGTCTTCAACTACTCCATTACATGAAACTTCTGTTCTAATAGACTGCACATTGACATCTCTTTTCCTTAGCTCACACATTCCCCATTAGCTAGAAGACCTATCTCTTTCCTTTCTGCTTAACTAAGTCCTAGTCTCTAAATATGGTCCCATCCCACCTTCTGGATGATACCTGTTGCTGATCACCCCAGTTATCAGTGATCCTCCTCTGATCTGATTCAGAACTTTGTCTTTCCCATTCATTTGGCCCTTAAAAAAATACTCAGTACCAAAAAATCTCAACTATATTATAAATCAACTTGGTACTGGTTACAAAATAGTAAAGTGGGTCTGTGAAAGTGAGTAGAAAAGAACCAGGAGCAAAAGCAGTAGCACACTGAGTATGTGCCAGATGTTAGAGACACAAAGACAAAAATGAAACAGTTCGTGCCCTTAAGATGCTTCAATTCTATCAGGGGAAACAGGTACATAACTAAAAGCAAAATATACACAATGTAAATACAAAGTATTTTCAAAGTAGGTACTAGCAGATGGAGGGAAGAGCATCAAAAAAGGTTTCATACAGAACATTTCATTTAAGTTGAGACATGAAGAGAGCTAAGGATTCTAAGAGGAGATTAGGACATTCCAGGAATGGGAGACAATCTGCGCAAAGGCAAGGAGAATGGGAAATGTCATGCTGTACAGGAGATACAGCACAGAGACCAGTATTGCTGGATTAGACTGTGTGAAAAATAATGAGTAATAAGACTAAAAATACAGACTAAAGGCAGATTGTGAAAAGTTCTAAATGCCAAGCAGAATATTTTATCCTGGAGGCAACAGCAAGTCAGTAGACCTCCAAACTCTAGCAAGGGAATGACATATTCAGACATATATTTTAGGAACATCAATCACTTTAGCAGGTATGTGGAGAATGTACTAGAGAAGGGAGAAAGTGGAGGAAGGGAGATCAATTCAAAGGTTATTACAGTAGTCCAGAAATTGTTAAAAAGAGCCTGAATTAGGGTGGTGCAAGTGGAAAAAAGAGAATGGATTTGAGTCTATGTGGAGGTAGAATTAATAAGACTTGGGTCTCATTTTCATTGTTGATAAAAGTCCAATAACATGTGTGTGTGTGTGTATATATATATAAATATAACATATATAAATAAGACAGAAAAGTTCTATATATACTAAAATATTCATTTAATCATCAACAGGTATCTTGCTATCTTTGCAACTCTAAGTATCTTGCTATCACTGCCCCCTTTTCCTCACTTAGAACATCACACTCTAGACCCAGCTTCATTGACCATGCCCCACCTGCACTGGGAGAATGAATCTACTCAACTGAGTTTAGTAGTTTGGATTAGTGAATGAGTATAAATTTACCTATCCCAGCATACAGCATGGAGCTAGCCCAGGCCATGCAACATATCCCATCCAAACATCGACCCTGGACATCATGCCATCTGCCCTGCTGTGATGTGTATTCCACCCCCCTCCAAACCAGATGACTAACTGCATTAATAAACCAACAAATAATTATTTAATAAATACTATGAGCTCAGTACTGTTAGCCAGTGTGAGAATACAAAAGAAGTATATAGATATGGTCATGTTTTAACTTCATATGTATAATGGGTAACATATTTCTTGCCTTCTCAATGTGTGGGGGCAGGATTGAAGAGAAGGAGAGAATCTGGAACTAAATTTTTTTAAAAAGATATGGTTATGCTTTCAAAGAATGTATCATCTAGTTAGGAAAATGAGACTAACAATTAACCAAGCATTTATTAACTAACTACTAAGTGCTGTTTCATGAGAGAAACACACATATTTAACTACATGTCAATAAGCATTTACTAAGCACTTACTATGTTCCAAGCATTGTTGCTAAATATATACAAAGTAATATGAGATATTGGAGAGGAAGGGAAAGAAAAAGATCCACTAGCAGATGTGATCTGAAAAAAAATCCTTTAGAAGGTAGCATGAGCTGGGTTTTATAGGATGATACATCAGAAAACTAAGTAGTAACTTGATAAAATTTTATGGTAGCAAAAAAAAAAACCTGCAAACAAAGATATGGATAGATTATGATAGAGGACTGTCAAAGTATTATTGTACCATAAAGAACATGAGAAATTCAGAAAAACATTAAAAGAATTATTAACTATTGTAAAGCAAAACTTGGTATATATGTACACACACACATATGACATAAATGAAAATAACATAACATAAATGAAAATACTAAAAGTCAGACAAACTGATTAATTGCAATTACTAAACTGGTTCCAGAAAATAGATAATGAAGCTCACTTTACTTCTCTCAGTAGAGAGTGAAATAGCCTTTAGGTGCAGAATGTTGCAGAAAGTAAAGGAGAAGAAACAGTGTTGGTAGTCCCGTTTTCATGTAAAACCACTCTAGCAAAGATCAAGGAATCAATCAATCAATAAAAATTGATTAAGTACCTACTATGTGCCAGGCACTATGCTAAGTGCTAGGAATACAAAAAGAGGCAAAAGACAGTCCCTGCCCTCAAGGAGCTTACAGTCTAATGGGGGAGACAACATGCAAACACATACACCAAGCAAGCTACAGACAGGATAAAAAGGAGATAATTAACAGAGGAAAGATATTGGAATTAAGAGGGGAAGACTTCCTGTTGGGACTTAAAGGAAGAAAGGGAGGTTGGTAGTTGGAATTGAAGAGAGACAGCATTCCAGGCTTAGGGGCAGGCAGTCAGAGAAAACACCCAGAGCTAAGAGATGGAGTGTCTTGTTCATGTAACAGCCAGGAGGCCATGTTACTGGATCAAAGAGTACATTGAAGGGGCGAGGGGTGGGGAGAGGTGTAAAGGTAGGAGGGAACTAGGCATTCAAGAGCTTTGAATGCCTAACAGAACATTTTGTATTTGCTCCTGGAGGCAATAGGAAGCTACTGGGGGTGAGGGGGGAGGAGGGAGGAGGGTGGAGGGCAGGTCTGATGTGATCCAAACTGCCTTTTAGGAAAATTACTTTAGTGGCTGAATCTAGGATGGGGAGAGACTTGAGGCAGGCAGACCTACCATCAGGCTATTGCAATAATCCAGGGATGAGATGATGAGGACCTGTACTAGTATGGAGGCAGTCAGAAGAGAAAAGGTAGTTAGAAGACCTATGAACTGGCCCAACCATTCTGGAAAACTATGTAGAATTATACCCCCCAAATCATTAATTACACGCATCCTTTGACCCAGCAATACCAGGCATATACTGCAAAAAGGTCAAAAGAAAGCAGGAAAGGGCCCAAGTTTACAAAAACGTTTCTAGCAGCACTTTTTTTAAAAATGGGGTCTGAAAAGTAACGTCTGAAAGTCTGCGGAGAAGGGAGAAGAATCTCCTCTCTCCCTTCTGTAGCCTTTTTTTCTTTTTACTCATCTGATGATAGCAACAACAAAGGGCACTTAAACTACTGTCAATCATAGAATCTAAGAGCTAGACCACAGCACCTTAAAGATCATCTATTCTAATCCATATCTATTCAAGAATTCTCTTTGTAACACCTCTCAAATAATCATCTAATCTATGCTTTCTCCAATGAGCCAGGAATCTCCTATCTCCTACTTTTGAACAGCTCTACCTGTTAGGAAGTTTGTTTTACTATTTTTTTTCCCAGAATAATTGGCCTTTGCAGCTTCCAACCATTGCTGCTTCTAGCTCTACAACAGGGCGAAGCAGAACAAGTTCAATTCCTTTTCCAAG